AAAAAAAAAAAAAAAATAAATAAATAAATATAATGTGTTTTTCTGTTAGTTTTGGTAAAAATTTTTAAAGAGAAGACATGGAATGAAAACAGCATGCCTATTATCTTTGAAGACATTTTCATGGTTACTATCCAAAGCCATTATGAGTAATCTCCCTAAGGGTATGGACCATGTTTAATGTATATTTTTTAACTTTTGCTACAGTTTCTAGTAAAGAGTAAATACTCACTGGTTACTTAAATATTCTGAATACCTACTCTATCTAATTCATTACCTACTCCTGGTCCCAGAACCTTTGGTACTCTTAGTCTGTATTAGTAAAAAAAGAAAAAATTAGATATTAGGAAGTACATGAACAACTACAACCATCTAAGACAGTGGTTCTTAACCTGTGAGTTGCAACCCCTTTGGAGGTCGAACAACCCTTTCACAGGGATCTCCTAAATATATCCTGCATATCAGATACTTACATTACAATTAATAACAGTAGCAAAATTATAGTTATGAAGTAGCAATGAAAATAATTTTATGGTTGGAGGTCACCACAACATGAGGAACTGTATTAAAAGGACACGGCATTAGGAAGGTTGAGAACCAGTGATCTAAGACAGAATATCAAAGAGTCTGTGTGTGGAGAACAATCATACTCAGCCACACAAAAAGAGTAGAGAGAGGGCCAGGGAATAAACTAAAAATGTCTATTAACAGAGGAATAATGAAACAAATTATGGTACATCAATTCAGGGGATACAGCTATTCAAAAGAATGTGGTAGGAAAAAACCAAGGTGCAAAACAGTATATCCCATCAACAAAGTCTTTTCAAAAAATAGAAACATATAGGTATAGGCGTGATCTTTTCCTTTTTTTCCGAATGACATACAAGAAAGTTAACAGTCGCTATATATGAGGAAGTAGGAGCAGGGAGACATAATTTTCCAAATTATATCTCTATATTATTTACATTTGTATGTATTCCTTTAAGTTAGTAATTGACTACATTAGACAACATTTTAATTAATAATTAAAACTCTGTGAGGATAATACCACGTATTCAATATAATAGCAAACTTTACAACAAAAGTACTGAGTTATGCCAAAACACTATGGCTCAGTTTTGAAACATATTTTTAGTTATTCTATGCAACAGCTGTATGTGTATAGCTGCAACTCTTTTTTTTTTTTTTT